GTGTGTGTGTGTGTGTGTGTGTATGTGTGTATGTTCATTATATAATATTTTACAGATAATTTCCCAAGATTTAATTTTTCTAAATTAGTGGACTGCCATTGTCTTTCAATTTTCTAGAGTTCTCTTTTAGTATATGTAGCTCTGAAGTGAACCAAAGAGTTAAGCCCCTGACTGATTCGCTTCTTTTTCAGAGGGGCAACATTGTAAAACGATGCAGAATCTGTATCATTACTGACAAGATGGAGTTGTGAATATAATGATTTTCTGCTGTTCTTGATTACATTACATTGTGAGGCTGAAGAAAATAATAATAACAATAGAACAGGTTCTTTAATCTAGTTACGGCATTTTCCGGCAAACAAAAGTCTGAAAATTGAGACAAACATTCAGAATAAAGATCAAGTGGGAAATATGGGACTTTAATACAAGTTTGTTTTATAATTTRCCTTGACATTTGGTTTGTCAAAACTGTTTTAGGGGTCTTGGAAGTGGGGTTCTGATGGTCACGGAGCTATTCTTTTGGTTAACTGTGACTCTGAGACGTCCTACAACAAAATGCCAGACACTGAGAAGGATCGCATCTCCAAAGTGTCAGGTAAACCAATATCACCGCTGTTAAGATTTCTCCAATAACACTCTTTAACTTTACTGAGGAAGGCAGCCTTTACAGTCTTTAATGCAAATAAGGAATTCTAATGGCCTAACAATCAATTTAAAAGTTAAAGAGAACACTTTATGAAAAAGTGATGCCTCAGACTTTGGATATCTGACATTACCCCTAACTAACCATGGTGAAAGCTTGACAAGCTCTATTGATTTTGAGAGTTCAAAGCTTATAAAAACCCACATGCTCCATGTCATGCCGTCAAACAGCGTGTGTCATATGTGAGAGAGAATTGTGTTTTGTGGACGTGCAGATCTGAAGGACATGTCTCCAATGGTGCTGCGGACCAAGGGTCCTGCCAAACTCCCAGAGGGCTACAAACTCACCATGCACATTTCTCGGGGAGATGCGGAGAACGTCAGAGTCTTTAGACCCAGATCCAACAAAGAGCCAACTAATTTCCTGGGTGGGTATCTAAAAGTGCATGTATTTGTTTTATGTACATTATTTAAAACTCATTACACAAATATTTTTTATTATTATATTAAATTAAGTACTCTGTATTTGCATTCTTTACTTTGCAGATAATTTTTTAAGTACTTTTATCAAGGACTATCCACTGGTACTGAGCCGAGAGGTCCTGTCAAAGGAAGTGCCTTACCTGGGAGGTGTAGCAGAAATGAACTTTTATGTGGAGGGCCTCAGGTTTCCTGACATGAACTTTGATGGACTTGTCACCATCAACCTCAGTCTATTAGAGCCCATCAATGAAGTAAGGACAGCAACAAAACCTGCATTTTATACATCCATTTCATCATTATTATTAATATTACTCAAAACCCATTTAACTGCAAATTTCAAAGACAATGAAGCACATTTCTCAATTTTTGATCAGTTTCTGGTAAAGCTAAGGGATTTTTATCATTGCTTCTAAGAATAAACTCAGTTTGGAAATCAGCATAAGTAAACTTGATAATAATTATGACTTAATGTAATCTAAATTAATGACAAAATCCTTAGTCCAAATCATTATAAAGTTAAGCTTGTTTGATTAGTTTTCTTTGTAAATCAATAGCACCTTCTCTCATGTTTTAAAGGGTCTTCCAGAGACGCCCATTTTCTCAGACAAAGTGGTGTTCAGAGTGGCTCCGTGGATCATGACACCCAACACTCTGGAGCCTGTGGAAGTGTTTGTCTGCAGGTAGGAGCAGCAGCTTGATGAATAATAAAGATGAATGTGTCAGCAGGGTGTTATAGCGTTACACCGCTCACTTTAACATCATCTCAAACTGCCACGAACACTGCTCAAGAAGCTCAGTATAAATTTTCACACAATTGTTTTTTGTGAATTTTTTTTAACCAAACAGTTAAAATATGTTTCTTTTAATTAGCATTTCAAACATTATTGCTTGACAAAAACATGCTGCCTGTCTGTGGTTTCAGTACACGCGATAACTACCAGTTCATGAAAGGAATAAAAGATCTTGTTCAAAAGAGCAGACATGAGCTGAAGGTTTGCTACGAGTACATGAACAGAGGAGACCGCTGGATGCAGGTAAAAAACAACAAATAATGAAAACTTTAAAGTGCCTGTGACATGCATATCCTCCAAAYACTRAAAGTCAAAGAAAACATCTTTATATTGAAGGAACTCGACATAATACACAATTTTACAAATTTTGTCACATAACACAGATTTTCTTTGAACTTGGCTCAGCCAAAGTGAAACAGGAAGTGACATCAAAGRGGAACTCGTTAAGAAAAGGAACTCTCTGGTCTTTGTTTATTGAAATAACATTATTTGAACTCTGACTCTTCTTCATCTCTCTGATAGTGACTTGAAATAATCTAAAGAAACATCAGATTCTTCTCTACAGTCTGTGTTATTAGTAATTGTAGCAATGTTCTGCTCACACAGACAAGTCCCCTTTGACATCACTTCCTGTTACTTCACATGTGAATATCTCAAGTACGGTTCGTCTCAGCGTTGTGAAATTTGTTTTGCAACACTCTACTGATGTTATATTTCTAAAAAAAATAACCATATTTATTACAAAAGGTTGATGTCACAGGTACTTTAATTTGTGAATCATTGGATTATACTGTACTTTGTATGTGTATATATCATGTTCACAACTTTGACCCACTGAATTTTTGCTTACATATACAATTCTGTTTTTTAAATTTTATACCTAATGATGAAAAGCTCATATGAAATAAGACTAGCTAAATAACAATAAAAATAATGTACAATAAGTTGTTTTGAAAAAGAATGGGAAGAAGTAAAAACATTTAATCCCACCCTTCTCCAAAGCTTATTAAAAAAAAATTATTATTCCGTTTCCTTATTCTAAATGACAATTTTATTAAGTCTGAAACAACAATCAGTTCACCTACTAAATTATACAACACTTACTAAAATTTACATATACATAAATATATACTGCTAAAGAAAATAAAGGGAACACTTAAACAACACATAGTTGCATACACACACATCCTTACATTACTTTTTTAGACACATTTTCTTTGTTTTCTTTTCTCATTTTGTGCAAACCTACACATTCAGATRGATACAGTTCTATAAAGAATTGTGTACACAATGATGGCTTAAAATACATTTTTAATCTCTTTTTCAGGATGAACTGGAATTTGGTTACATCGATTCGCCCCATCAAGGCTTTCCTGTTGTTCTAGATTCTCCCAGAGATGGAAAGCTGAAGGACTTCCCATATGAGACGCTGCTGGTGACAGACTTCATTTTGTCTYGAGTTCAAATGTTTGTAGATGGGGAAATGCTGCCGTGTCAGCTCTTTTTGTTTGAGCATGTTTTTAAAGCACCTGGTTGACCCGGCGGCTGCATCACTTATAGTAGATTTCATACACAACATTTTCTAAAAAAAAAAAAAGTGTTTTTGTTTAAACACGCTTTTAATAAAAGACAGTGAGGATTGTGGGGGAGGTGGATCATGGATGAGCAGAAGGGAAGTATCAACAGTTCAGAAGAATCAGAAGCGTTAACTCCTGCCTGTACAAACTTGCCTTCATGCTGCACACCCGCCATGAAATTAGCTGCTAACCTCAAACATGGTCTCTGTCTCTGACATATTTAGACTTCGCAAAGTTAGGAACAAATTAAGAGWTTTGCTTAAGATTTGGAAAACTTCATGACGTGCATCTGTGAAAATTGTTTCAGACTTGTTCTAAAACACGTTTCTTTGTGATCAGTTAACCTCATATAGGGAGACAGGGCTCTGGTGCTCTAAAAGCATTTGAAATTTGCTTGTCCAGAACAAATTTTTAAACAAATCTGTCTCCTCAGGGTCCTGACTTTGGCTATGTGACCAGGTTGGCTTACAATGAAAAGGTGAGCAGTTTGGACTCGTTTGGTAACCTGGAGGTCAGCCCCCCTGTCACYGTGAATGGGAAAGAATACCCCCTGGGCAGAATCATCATTGGAGTTGCCTTCCCAACGTAAGTCACAGATTAGTTTAGAAAAGATTTTAAAGGGATCCCCGATTAGTTGTAACATTAAATTTTATTTGATAAACATTTATTTTAACTGTAAAATAAATACTGTGAAAATACTGTAGGC